TCATATTCTCAAGGTCCCAAAATAAATAGTACTTAAGTGGTGGGAAATTCCAGTACTAGCCATACACAGTAAACCGAACAATAAGGCTACCAGCTTAAACTTCCTGGTAGAATAGTGACTTTGTATTGGGTACTGTGTCTTGAGCTGCCTTTCATTAAAGCTATCTCTCCTGGCTAAAGTGAATGTAAAGAAGGTGGCTTTGTTTTTGAACTAAACAACCTTTTTGTCACAAATGTAAGTATTCTTTTGTTGACCTTCTGTGTGCTCTTACAGATCTTTTCAGACTGTTTTCTATAAGGCAGTGCATCTTATTGGTCTAGTTCAATAGTCCTCAAGGGATCTCCAGGACTCTTTCAGTGGACTGGCAAAGTTAAATAAATGAATATTTTAAAATTTCTCATTTTTAAAACAGTAAACATTGATAGATATAACCTGGTCCTACACACTTTGCGGTCCTCAATCATTTTTAAGAATATAAAAGGGTCCTGGGACCAAAATATGTGGAGAACCATTGGGCTAGTCCTTCTGTCCACTGACAAAAAAAATGGTCATATTGTCTATATGTATGAAGCTTTACAGAAGTTGGCAGTTTGCAATTCAGTTTGGTTCATTAGGCTTCAGAACTTGTAATTGATTAATTATAAGCATAAAAAGCATTGCTGACTTGGTTTTATCACCAACCATATTAGAGTTGTCAGTCAGCTAGATTTTACTTGGAATCTAGTCATGCCATCCAGTAAACCTTTTTTTAAAAAATGTTATGTTTTCTATCCAAACCTAAGATTAAATAACCAAGAATTATTCTGCCCAATTATTTTACAGCACAAAAGAAGTCCTACTACTGCCTTTCAGTGTAGGGTGTTTTCCTGAAAGAGAAATGTTATGGTATTTTGGGGGAATTTGGGAAATTTGGGAAAAGGGCGTTCTTTATTCATAGAGAATGCATTATTGTCACTCATAGTATTGCTGTGATAGTGTGTTATTGAATTTCCTTTGAAACAAAAGATAGAAAAAAGATGTTATTCTTACGTCCTGCATTTTTTAAAAAGAGGCATTATGTTATTAATACCAATGAAGCCCCAAATGTGTTTTGATGGGTTATTTCAAATTCGTGGTGCCATGACCCCTTAAAATAATGAAGCCTTTTGCATCCTACCCCCTCCCTGATGATATTGAATTAAAGAATGACAAATTCTGTAATTGTCTAGAATTCTTTACATTTTTCTATATGAACTACTAGGGCTTCAAAATCCTCTCAGAAGCCATTATGTAGAAAGAATTTTGATACATTCTTCAAAGGATTTCCATATATTCGAACAATTAAATAAACTAATGCAAACACAGCCACTGATATACATATATGCAAGATCCAAAATTAACTCTTAATTTTGCTTCCAGGAAGAAGAAATGCACAAGGGAAATCTGCAAAGGTGAGTAAAGATGAAAGAAAGAAATCCCAAATGAACTCTGTAATGTATTAACACATTTACCTTCATATGCAGTGAGTTCAGATGTATTTAAAAATTACTTTTAGAATCTTTCTATGACAGTTGTTTGATAGCTGTGTATTTTTGTTATGCACAAGCATTCAGTGCTTAAAATGAAATCTGCAGTTTAAAGTAAGAATGAACCAGTATCTTTTAAAGGATTTTCATATGATTTCCTTCCTTCCTTCCTTCTTTCCTTCCTTCCTTCCTTCCTTCAGGGCAATGTCAGTTTCCTCCATGTCAGAGTTCAAGCGTTTGATGGACATTTCTCCCTTTCTTCCTGAAAAGACTATACCATCCTGTAACACCAAAGAAGATACAACACCTCCATTATCTCCTGATGATTTGAAATACATAGAGGAATTTAACAAAAATTGGGATTATAACACTACCGGAAGCCAGAGTGGAGCTTTAGAAAGGCCTTCAGATACATGGGCAGAAAGGACAGAGATGGGAAAGGCAGTAAATAATTCTGTTCCAGATCCATTCCAGCCATCTTCATGGTACCTTACCACAAGTGTTACTATGACAACGAACACCATGACGAGTCCTGAACACTGCCAGAAACAGTCACCAAGAAGTCACATTGTCACAGAGAAAATAGGAGTTAGAGTCTTCCATAGTCCACCATTGGTTCGCAGGTTTGATAACTCACTTGTCCCTGGCAATGAAGGGAAAAATCAGCCTGAGGCAGACTTTTTGTTTCCCGTGACCAAAGCTAAAGGAAATGTGGGTGAGATAAAAAGTGCTTCATCAGAAGTGCTTGGAAGATGGTCCTGTGACCTCTCCAAACATCATAATGATTTTCTAGAAACTGGCCTTCATCCTATTGAACATCCTATCTGTACTACGGTGGGTTTTGCCTCATCCTTGCACAATCTGGAGCTGTCCAAAAACATGAGTGATGATATGAAAGAAGTAGCTTTTTCTGTCAGAAATGCAATACATTCGAGCTCAACAGATCTTCAATTCAGAGACACAGCTTGTCAAACTAATGGAATGAGAACAATGGGGACACAGACTACTCAAACTATCAATGTGGGCTTACAGACAGATACTTTGCGTGCGATCACTAGCAGTCCACATAAATGTCTGACACCAAAGGGGGGCTCTACACCTGTTTCCTCGCCATCAAGAAGTTTAAGAAGCAGACAAGTGGCTACTGCTATTGAAAAGGGAAAATATGAACGGACATGTTGTTCTCCAAAATATGGCTCTCCAAAATTACAAAAAAAAGTTTGTTCCAAAACAGATCAGCCAATTAACCGGATATTACCAAGCACACCTCAGAAAGGATTTAGTGAATCTGCTTGGGCCAGATCTACCACGACGAGAGAGAGTCCAGTTCATACTACAATAAATGATGGCCTCTCAAGTCTATTCAATATCATTGACCATACCCCTATAACTTATGATACTTTCCAAAGATGCTCCAGTTCCAGCAGCCGGTCAAGATCAGCAGAACCCAGGCCAGAACTTGGGTCTATGCAAGATATGTGCACAAGTATGCGTGGCAGGTCACCCAGTCCTCTTCGTTTGGGTACAGAACCACAAAAAGATGAAATGGATGAAATTACAAATATCAGGCAAGAATTATCTACTCCTCCAGGATACATGCTAACAGAAAACGCTGCCAGAATCCTGAACAAGAAATTTATAGAGAATGCCTTAGCTTCACATACCCCTCCAAGTCTTAGCAATGAAAACCATCACACAAAAGAAATAGTCAAAGTTGAACCAGGATCCATTGAGGTAATAAGTTTTATCCTTATAATAGTAAAACAAATTAGAAATGTTCATGTAGTTTGTAAGTGCTGTTTAATACATATACTTACATTATTTTGACTCAAAAATAAATTGATTGCTGTTATGTATATTGTAAATTTTTGAAGAACTTGATAACACCATTACTTTTCAAATGGATTTTTGGAGACATAGTATTTCTATATGATAAGTCACAGTACACTTGAAGTTGGATTTCTAAAATGAACATAATTCTGTGAAAAAATATTTTGGAATTTTTGCATTTCTTTGCCATTGAATATTATCAGAGCTTCGTGTGGGCCCTAATGAAGCACAAAATAATTGTTACTGAACAGATAATGCTAAAGGTTGGTGTTTGTTTCATTTATTTAATAAAGGAATTCAACAATACGAAAAAATAATTATTCTTTGATTTAATCAATTCAATTACAGGGCTAACTAGGATAATTATTATTAGCTCATTAACAATTAGGAGTGATTTATGTATATAAATCTAATATCTTTGATTTTCATTATTGTGATAATGAAGTCCTCGCTATACAGTTTGAAACCATGTTCTGCTCAAAATAAATTTTGTAAAACTTTTACTATCTGGTGGTGTTTTTCATCAGGCTCCTACATAAAGCTCTGAGAACAATCAATTGCAATGATACATTTAAAAAAATAGCAAATTAGAAAAACAAATGAATACCTTTTCACAAGACTACATATGCCGGTAATAGTTCTATCGGGAAGATAGCAAATAAACCAATAGATGGAAGGATGGATGGATAGATAGATAGATACATAGATGGATGGATATATATTGCCACTATTGCAATTTCAGTTTCTATTAGTCCAACTTCAAACATCTTTCACAGAAAAATGTTATGCCTAGTTGGTATGGTTAGAATTCAGTTAGAATAACTGAATAACTGAAGGTTGCGTATTAATATCTATATAGCTTAAACATTTAATTCTTGCAAAGTTTCTTACCTAATAATATCCTTTACATGCTTTATATTTTAATTCCCCATTGTTATTATTAATATTCATTACAAGTAGGAGAGGGCAAATAGAGTGATGAGAAATGAAGAGAAAATTATGGGAAGTGAAGTTTAACATATCTAGAAGATCCGAAGTTCAGGAAAGTTCAATATAGCATTCAATAAATGTTTTTTAGATATCACACTGTGCCCCTATTTTACTCCATCCTAAAATAACTTAGCTGCAAGGAATGACTACCTAAAATGTAGAAGAATTGAATGTGAGGTTACATACTGTATATTTGCTAATTTAGTCTTCCAAACCATTAATATTTCTATAGTGCGAAATTCAAACAGTAGTACACTGAAATTGGTTTAGGTAATATAGACAAATGTGGAGAAAGGAAATGCAAATGAACTGCTTCCAGATCACATAATTAAGAGGTACTCAACAAAATTGGCATATTCTGGCAGAGTAAAATGTCCTTTTCCAGATAAAAATGTTTAGGTTTAGGGATGGAGGAAGAGGAGCTTCAGTACTGTATATAGGATACATGGCTCTCAATGAAATTTTAATAGCTAAACTCAGTTTATTGTATTTATTTTTGAAGTGTATAAAGCTAGTATTTAATGGATAATAATAGAAAATACCTCTAATTTGCACTGTTAGATTAATGTATATTTAATTTTGTGTTAGAAGTATTTGATGTTTATATGCACTAAAGGCTAACTACCTTTATCAACTTCAAAAATAAATTCTTATAAAAACAAGATACTTTATATTTACAAATTCACTGAACATTTATCAAATTGTCATAAATAGAGGGAAAAGCACAGCAGATTATTTTTAATGCAGTTATAATTCTTGTTATAATGGTTTTTGAGTGGACCTTGTCAAGATGACAGCAGCTTCACACGAATTGATTTATAATACAATTCTATGGATATTTTCTTAGAAGAATCACTGGATTCAACTGGTCATTCTCTTAAGTGTGTATTATTTTTCTTCTATGTGCATTTTATTTTTTTATATGCTACATTTCTGTTTATTCCAACACTTCTAATTTACAACACTAAAGTTGTACAAAACATAACAAAGTTAATATAACTAAAAGCAGAATTAAAATTAAACATTAACATTATGAACAATTAAAAGCTTGACTGTTTATGCCATTTGACTAAATTCTAAGATGTGTGAGCCAAATAAACCTTTTTAGAGAATATATTCAAGAGTCAGAGGCTCTTCTGTCGATTGGAGAGGTGATTCACTGTGGGATACATGCTACCTCAGAAAGCCAGGCTTTAAACTTTTGGGCTTTAGAAAGCTATACTAGCACCTTAAAATGTACCTATCAGGAAATTGATAACTAGTGCAAAATTCTTTTAGAAATGTCATCATTGACCTCTGCATCTTGTAGCAGCCCAAAACCTGGCAGCCACCACGTTTTGCACCAGCTACAATATCTAAACACTTCTCAAGGTTTAGCCTCACATAAAGCACATTTTAGTAATACATACAAGTTGTGACCAAGGTGTTGATAACTATAATTAAACAGGACTAGTTTAGAAAGGTTGGTAGTTGGTGTATTAATTGCAACAGTGTAAATGTGTTCCTGATCACAGCCGTCAAATGTAAATCCAGTGATAATTGTATATCAAGAAGCCCTCCCAAACTTTGAACATGCACAGTGCAAATCCATTCAGAACAGTATTACCTTCAATTTATTAGATTAAGTAATATAATGACTAATTGACTAATTGTATTAATAAGCCTATTTACAAGTCTTGTTAATGCCAATGTCCTATTAGCTTCATTTGTTTATTCCCATATACTCTCGCTGTAGTAACTTAAATTTTCTACAGATGTGTAAATTTTTAAATGCAAACGTTGACAAATACAGCGTCAAAATGCATATTTTCAAAAAGTGCTATTTGTGATTAAGTTTATAATTAGAATCCGCTTACTGTAAAAGTTTAACAGCTGTGGCTTCCATTGAGAATTTCTGGGTTGCAATCTTGTAAAGTAAAGCCATGCTTTGTTAGTCATACATTCTGTAATACTTGATAAATCATAGGCACATCTGAGAAATGCAGATATGTATTTTGTGTGTGTGTGTGTGTGTGTGTGTACACACACTCACACATACACAGATAGACAGACATAGATCTAGATCTAGATCTGCGGAAGAGGCCTTCATCCTGCAGTGGATAGACAGTGACTAAAATGATGATATGATTGTGATGATGATGATGATGATAGATATACTGTAGATATATAAAATGCTTAGGAGTGAGTATTCTTTAACTTCTGCCAAGAGTTAGATACTAAACTGCAGCTTTAAAAGTAGCTGGACAATCATTTCATTACATTAAAATTCTAAGTACTAAGTTGCAGTACTGATAACACTGAATCTCTTATTCTTAGCTTAAATAAAAACATTTTTCCAGTTTCAGCTAGAAAGAATCAGTCATCAGAATTTATTTTGAAGAATCTGAAGAAAGTTGAAGAAAGTCATGTTATCTGACAAAAAGACTAGCTGATGTAATGTTCTTTTTCTTCCCTCCCCCCTGTTTTTTCTTTCTAATAACATGGTTTGGCTGTTTTAACCTCTGACATAATTTCTAGAGGGATAGCATATGGTAATATATTGTTTTCTCTTTACTAAATAGAACTCAGATGCCAAAATAAAATGGTAAATTCATGTCTACTAGACGTAGTACCATGCAATACACTATTCCTTATCTTGGGGGGAGGGTCAGATAGGGGGGAGAAGAAAAGAAACTTTCCCATTTGGAATGAATTCTGATTTAAATGAAAGTTGTAACAGTTTCTAAAAATTAAATGTACTGTTTACAATCATACTCTCCAATTAGAGTGCGTCTACATTTGTTTTCTAAATGTAAAGTTACCAGTAACAGTTTGCCTCTTCTATACTCTAGCCTTGCTAATTTTTAAAAAGGTACTAATATATTAAATTTGGAGAGTGCTTCAGTGCTGATTTAAAATTTCTTGTTTAAATATTCATTCCAATCTGCTTGCTTTTTTTTCCCCCTGTCTTGTCTGTGTCCAGAACCAAACTGTCTTACTAACTGCCCCTTGGGGACCCTAACCCTGCCTGCCTCAGTACTGTAAGTCTTTCCTACCTTTGTTTCCAAAAAAACAACAACTTTTACTCGATGGAAAATTATAAAGTGCATAAGCAACAGCATTCCTGATATTAGCGAGAAGCGGCATTGGATTTGAAATGGCCAGCAAACATTTGAGTCCTGAATTGTCTTCAAAATAGTTCTTACCAATCGTTATTTGTATGATTGCTCTAAAATCACTAAATCTAAGTGTTTCATCTTAAACCAGATTCATTCCATGGAACAGGATTTTCACAAATATGCTAGATTTAGGGTTCTGCCCATAATAGCCATATTGAATGTTCAAAGGAGTATGTTTTATCTTTGCTGTTTTGTATTTCACAATCATTTTTGCACCCACTAAGGTGATTTGCAGTTTCAAATCACTGCAAATCACCAGCTATAGACACAATGCTATACTTTACTATTTACTAAATTCATTTTATAGGATCAAACTCTGTAAAAGTCAGTTCTAGAAGTCAAAAGGTTAGAAGTAAAATGGCAAGAATCAGAGGTTCTGTATATTTAATATTTAAGAACCAAAAAGGCATTCAAGTTTCCATTTTGTTTATGGGATGATTTTCATTACATCATCTTAATTTCATCATTGCAACAGCTTTCAATAGATAGACTTAAATATTTATCTTAAATAGAAAGAAAGCAAGTCATACAGTATAACAAAAATAGATGACATCATTATCTCATTACCTTATTTCATTCTAAGAATATGCACAAACATATGGAATCCAAGAGCTGAGACTTCTGGGAACTTTTCCAGAGTTCCAATTCACGGAAGAAACCAATCCCAAATGTTTCTAGTAAAGCCAGTTATGCATATTATTAATACATTGAAAGAAGCATAGTTTCTAATCTGCTTGAAAACGTAGATGGGGAAGA